TATCACTATTTAATGATAAAAAGTATTTGTACTGTAATGTATAATATGATAAACTTCATATGCACAAAAATATTCAAAACTAGATTCTAGTTCGGTAAAAGTGACAAGCCTTATTTCCTCAGACACCAATTTTTGTAAATTTTGCTGCTGAAGTGTATTGTCATCAAGCAGCATTCAGATAGAATTTTATAAAAGACGCTTTATGTCTGGCTAAGACTGGCGAACTAAACAAGGTTATGCAACACAGCTGACAACGGTTGACAGCAAAGATCATTGTACATTTGAACAAAAACTGAACTAAACGTCTTTAGTTTGTCTCTTGTCATAATCAAAAAATTTTTTGCTTAGGCAGTTTATGGGTTGTACTCAAAAAAGCAAACGTTAATCCTAAGTTGTTCCAAAACAATTTTGAATTATAAGTTAAGAAAAACTTTTTTTTTGCAGCGAAATAAACTGCTGTTTAAAAAGCTACCAGTTTTATGGTTTATTTCACAAAATTCGTTTTAATTCATAAAATACAGAGCAAAAAAAAAATTTCTTTCTTGACTTTAGTTTACCAGTAAATTTTAATAAAAGAAATCAGGCTGGCATTTACTGATTTATTACATGACCCATCAGTGCATATGTATATACTTTGATACATAAGCCTAAAGAAATGCGTAAATTTAACACAAAATTTCAAGGATTGAAATTTCTATTAATTTTAGTGCTTGTGAAAATGTTATATGCTTTTGAATAACAGTTGCTAGACTAGTATTAACAAAAAAGAAAGTTCTGTAAAAAAAAAAAAAAAGAGAAAAAGACAAGGTAAGTTAATAGTATAGATTTGTAATTTTTTATAGCTTACCTATCGAGTTACATTTAACAGTGAATTGTACTTCTAGACTAAAACTGAAGTAATTGCCAAAGGTCAGAAATCTCAGAACTACAACATATTTGAGGTAGCAATTAAACTAATGAACCACTGTCGGTTGATTAATTCATTGCATTGACCAGAATGCAAAAAGTTTGCAGAATTATTTTTTTTTCTAAAGTTTTGTAGAATTTTGTAAGACAACAACAATATCAATAAAAAAAAAAAAAAAAAAGCGATCAAATTTGTTATGTAATTGAATCTTAAATACTTCTTCACTTTTAGCCACTTCATTTAATCTCATGAGTTCACTCTTTCTTTCAGCAGCAGCAACAAAAAAAAAAAATCTATAAGTGCTTAGTGTGCAATGCGGCACATATACATATAACATGTTTTATATATCTATGCAAACTGGTAGATTTAAAAACTACTAAATCTTTCTAATCACTCGCAGTTAACCCCCGTCTTAACACTTATAGCCTGCTAAAACGACAGTTGAGGTCTTTTTTTTTGCTTTTATTTATTCTCTACAACATGTAGAAGAAGAAAAAAAGAAGTAACAGGTTAGGGTTCATTATTTTTACTGGTTTTAGGTAAAGCAACGCTAGAATTCCTTTTGATGCAGTAAATAAAACAACTTTTAAACTTCAAAAAAAGCGGGCATAAACAGGTTCTTTTGAACTTGACAACAGATACACTGATACTATAGTAATAGACTAGCATTATAATTAGCTGAACAATTAATAGACTTGGTATTTAGGTCTGCAGATTGAATGTTGCTGAATGTTTTTTAGTTTAAATGTACTAAATAGGCTATCATAAGTTACCCTATAATCTTCTGTAGTAATTATTGCATTTAAAGGTCAAGTCGGTAGTGTTGATCCTTTAACACTAATTGAAGAGTGTATTGAAAGTAAACAGAAAAAAGAAAAAGAACAAAAAAAAAAAAAAAGAGACGAACAAAGAGCAAAAACCTTTTTAAAACGACCAGCGAAACTGCTCCAAAAAGGGCGAGAAATAATTTCAACAAATGGTCGACAACCGGTCAAAAGTCCAGCCTGAGCTGCTGACATTCCCAGTTGTTTGAAGTAGATTGCCAGTAGCGGGAACAGTGATCCATATGAAGCAAAATAGCTCAGGTAAAAGCAACGGGCAATGAATAAATTTTTGTCATATTCACGACCACGAATCCGGATCGGCTTCCTTGTTGTTTCCATGCTTGTGTATAGTTGTTGTTGCTATCTGAGAGCCCAAATACCTCCTTGTATAAAAGCAGGAAAAAAAAAATCGATTCAGCCAGAGAACAGACTAAACGCTTAGCTGCTGCTATTCGGCATGGCGCTATAACAGATTACTAGACATGTGCTCAGTTTGGTCTGCCATAGCTTGTTTCCAATTCTCAACTCAGCTTGCCTTTCGATACACCGGCCAATTCAGGCTGAGGATTCTTTATCAAAACACCCATTCACTCAGCAGCAGTTTCTGTTTTCTTACTGCACCAATGATGTGTCAAAATAATTATTTTCTTCCACCAAGAAACTTTCAGATTGGTTTAAAAATCACTAAATATATTTAGTTATTTATTTATTTTTCTTTTAGTTAAATTAATAACTCAAATAAACTATATAAACTTTCAAACTTATATTTGAAGTATAAATGCAGATTATATACAAATATATGCTAAGTGTCTTTTTTTTTTTTTCGTTTTTGAAAGTACATAAAAAATTATCTTTTTTCAAGTAAAGTTATGATTAAAAAAATTACATTCAAATTATATATGTTATATGAGATCTGAAATCAATAAAATTGCTTTATATAAATGTCAAACTAAAGAAAAAACAGAAAAAAAGATATTATTTTTAACTTATTCAAAATTTACATTTATTCTTATCTGTTGTTTATCATTTATCCTCTTTTCCTTTTCTTCCGCTTTTTTTTTTACCTTTTGAGATCAAAAAGAATTAACTAATAGTGTTTTCAAAAAAAAAAAACCTCTTATCAAAGTTACAAAAAAAAAAAAAAATAAAAAAAATAAAAGAATAAAAAATTAACTTACTAAAAGTGCACAAAAATTGATGCAGAAAATTTGTTAGATCATTTAATCAAAATTGAAAAATTATTGTTTTATTATAGCAAATGCTTCAAAAGGTTTTTCTTCAACAACTAAAAGTGAGTGCTTTGTTGATGTAACTCAAATTTTTTTTTTTTTTGAAAAAACACTTCTATTTTACGAAATAAAAATAAAACGCAAAAAAATTAATTACACTGTAAAGTTTAAAATAATTTGAAAAGAAAAATCTCTTTTTAACATTTTTTCACAATACTTGTTTAGGTTTTTCCACACAGAAACATATAATATTTGAAAATTTAAAATAAAAAATTTTGCCAAAGTTTAAAAAAAAACGTTATATATGTGTAATTTTTTGAGGTTTTTAAATACAATTAGTAATTTAGATTGATTGTAATAATTATTACTGTACAAAGATGATTCAACTTGTTGTATAGACTAAATTAATAAAGTTGACGATAATCTGCACTGATAATACGTATCCTTGAGTATTCTTAGTTTATCACTACTGATTGTGTCAATTACGTTCAGAGAATTCAGCATTTATTATCAAAAAATTTACAAAACAATTCGTTGTCTTTTTTTTTTTTTATTTTTATTGAAATCTATTGTTTAATTAACAAATTTTTCTGCTGTTGTAACACTGTCTTAGAGTAACCATATTGGTTGTTATAGATTTTGATAAATCTAAATAGCATTGTTAAGCAGAAATTTACTAAGTACTTGTTCCTTATACATACTTTATATTTTTATTTTTGCCTTAAACTCATGATAATGGAGCTTATTTTTTTTCTTTTATAATTTTTTACAACTATTATATGTTGCGATGTTCACGCACTTTTAAACATTCACGCAGACACAGACACAGAAACACAGAGAGACGGAAAAGTTGTAACTTGAGAAGATGCCATTATAGCAATTTTTAGCAGTAGGAGGGGCCAAAAACAGTGACTGACCAATTAGGGGGCAGCCAAATTTTTGGATATGAATGCGGCCTAAACGGCGATGTTCTCAAATTGTCAACCTCAAATGTCCCAAGTTTCTTTTTTTTTTCTTTTTGCTCAATGCCAATGGCCAAATATATCCGTTGACGTTGTCTGTCCACAAATATACTCTCTTCTTTATAACTTTTATTTATTTATTTATTTTTTTTGACTAAAAACGATAAACTTTTTGAAAAGCTTATCGTTATTAGTCAAAAACAGATATTTGTTGGTAACATTTTTTATTGTAGTTGTAATGTTTTCAACAAAGAAAAAAAAAAAAAAAACTTGTTGATTATTAAGCCAAAAAGTTTATAAAGTTATTCATGGAAACAATGAGTCAAAATATCTGCTTTTGAGGTATCACATTTTTTTTCTTTCTTCATTCATATTCTGTTGTGCGAATAACGTTTTATAATATGAATCAGAGAAAAATTTCTTTTTTTTATTTTTTTTCAGTCTTTAATTGGAGAGTGCATAAAATTTTTTTGTTTTTTAATATGTTTTCATCAGCAAACTGCAAGAAGGCTATAGATGGGCTAACGATTATAAACTAAAGTAAAATGTATATATGTTAGCAGATTTTATCCTTTCAAAGTCTTCTTCCTGTAATCAATTAATTTTTTGTTTTTTGTTTTTATTTCTTACTCAGATTTAAAGTTAATAAGTGTAAATGTCTGTGTACTATTGAAAACAACGTAAACGAAAAACATTGAATAAAATGAAGATTATTATATTAGTTAAATGAATAAAATTGTAAACAAAAATTAGCTTCAAATATATTGGCATTTTAAATTACTAAATGACAGAGAATTTTTGATCAAAAATTTGATTGAAATATAAAATGACTTTTTACATTCAACGTTTTTAAAAAAGCTTTATAACTTTTGCTTAAGATAAGTGAACAACGAAGCAGTAGTCGCCGAATTTTTTACCTTTTTAACCATAGTTCAATCTTAGTTTACTGAAAAACGATGAATAAAGTCTTAGCTAAATTATGATAGAAACTGATGGAGAAAAAAACAGTGATAGATTTTCAGCTTACCAAAAATTATAAACTGACAAATATTCAAAGAAATTTGTATGCAAAGCAAAAATACAACTCAAAAATGTCTAAACAACTTTCATACAGTTTCTTGCATCAGAATTTTGAGCATGTTAAGTGAAGTTTAACAAGCTTAACAAGATAAAGTGCAATTTAAAATTGTGTGCCGAAAAATTAGACTAGTATTATATCAATTTCGTAGCAGAAGTAAAAATTTCAAAAGAAAAATTACGTTTTGAGAGAGCTAAAAAAATGATTCTGAAAGTGAGATGTAAAAAAATATTTAGAATAATCAGATTAAGAATTCAAATTTAATTAGAATTTAAAAATTCAGCATAATACTTGACGACTATCAGAGTGTCATCAGGTCAAACGTCTTCAAATAGAACTTTTGAAATAAAAATATACAAATCACAATTGTCAATTAGATTTTGTTGATTGTAAAATTGCGAATTTTTTTACAGTAAAAATGCAAAAAGCAACTGTTATGTTGAGAACTATACTTATTTTTAGTATAGCTTCTTTGACAGAAATTTTACTTTCAAGAATAACAGCTATAGTTCTTGTTAAACTTATACTTCTGAACTGCAAATTTTTTTTTTTTTTTGTTGGCACAATAGTAAAACAGAGAGTACAGAACACTTGAATTATTATAGTTTTCATCATAAATAGCACTTTTTTGAAGCATTTTCTAAATTCAACTAAACTACTTTGCGCTAAAAACTTTTATTCAGACTAGCTGACAATTTAATAAAATTTCTTCTCAAAAATCTTGTATTTGTAAAGTTCTTTTTTGTTTGGTTGATTTTATCAAAAGTAAATCTGTACGGCAATCAAGCTGGTTAAACGAAAGCCACATTTCTAATCAAATATTCTAATAGAAGAGAAAAAATCTGTAGCATGAGCAAAGCGTTGCAAACAGTCAAGTTAACATATCTTCAAGCTTTGCTGGATCATTTTTAAATGCTGGAGTTGCTGGGTCCAAAGAGATGATCAAAAGTGGTTGCTCAGTGAATCGTACATTTATTTGACTTTAGTTGTTGATTTTAAGTCAAAATGTGCTACAGCAGTTGGGGTTCGAATCCACGCAGACGTCTGTCCATCGAAACTTAAGTCCAACGCCTTTACCACCCAGCCATCGCTGCGTGAGGTGCCGGCGCCTAACAGCGCAGTCAACAACAATAACTGCTTCTGGCGAATGTTGAATAATAGCTTAGTGCTGTTGCTGCCGTCTTGCATAAAATTTGATGTGTTCAAAGTTTCAATTTCGAATTGGTGAAAACTTGTTAAAGTTAGTCTTTTATGTTACAAAACAACTGTCTTTTGCTGTGGGTGTTTTCTTAGGGTAAATAAATAAATATTTTAGCGCTTATTTTAAAAGTATCTTTTAAAAAATTCCTATAAAAGTTTTCAATTATCTATATTAATAGTTGCGGTTAAAGGTGCAAAGTGATAGTGTTTTGTTGAGGTACTGTCAACTGATGACAAAGTATAGTTAGTGCAGAGAATAAACTTATCAATCTAGCCACACATATTTGTGGTTGAAGCGTTGTTAGATGATTCACTTCAAAATGACAGATGCTTTACTGACTTCAGATTGTCAGATGAGTCCATGTTGTAGTTGAAGATAGAAAACGAAGTTTGCAGTAGGAAATCAAATTGGTTGAGCAGAAGCTTTCAGTTACATTCCTCCTTGTTTTCAGCTTTTTCAGCGCTGTCAAGACTGCTTACAGTCGTTTTGTTTTAGTAAAACGAATGCATAAATTGGGGCAGTTCAAATGCGTAGCTGAGTCACACTCTCAACTTTATCAGATGCCACCGAATTTCTTCAGAACTTTGATATGACGCTTAAAATTTGTACACATTTTTGACCATAAAACAACATTTAGACACACCGCTTTTCCGACTGTCTGTGAGAATCGAAACTTTTTGATTTTCCAACAGCGATCTTAATTTTTGGGTGTTACGATGTCTGTTAACGTAAAGTGTGTTTTCGTAAACTGTTATTTGAGCGAACAGAATTTTGATTTATCATCGTACAGTCATACCGTCAAAATTGAAGGCTTTATTTAATTTATCTTTGATTTTAGAATGTTTTCACTTCAAAACATTCAAAAAAAA